GAAAAAGTAGACGACTTCGTTTATTTGGGAACCAGCATTAACACCAATAATAATAACAGCCTTAAAATCCAACGGAGAATCACGCTTGCCAACAAGTGCTACTTTGGACTGAGTAGGCAATTGAGAAGTAGAGTCCTCTCCCGTCGTACAAAAATCACACTCTATAAGTCACTCATCATGCCTGTGCTGGTGTATGGCCCAGAGGCATGGCCAATGAAAACATCTGATGAAGCCGATCTTGGAGTTTTCGAAAGAAAGATTCTGCGAAAGATTTACGGACCTTTACGAGTTGGCGATGGGGAAGACCGCAGATGATTTAGCGATGAGCTGTATAAGCTTTACAACGAATAGACGTAGTGCAGCGAATTAAAATTCCGCTGGCTTGGCCATGTCGTTCAAATGGACAGAAACGCTCCTGCTCTGAAAGTATTCATCGTGAGCCGCGATAACAGAGGAAGAGGAGGGCTTCCTCTGCGTTGGAAAGACCGGGTGGAGAAGGACTTGGCNTGACGGCCTGCCAGCCGAGCTATTCAAGTACGGCGGCGAGGAGCTGATGTGGTGCATGAATAGATATGGTCAAATGAACCCATGCCCGACGACTGGCATTCAAGTGTGCTCTGCCAACTACCACGGGATCAGCCTTCTAAGCATAAGCTATAAGGTCTTATCGAGTGTATTGTGCGAAGACGGAGAAGTTGTCTTTATGCCGCGATGTCTGAATTTGGTATCCCCGCGAAACTAATACGGCTGTGTAAAATGACGTTCAGCAATACCATCAGCTCTGTCAGAATTGGGAGGGACCACTCCGAGCCGTTTGATACCATAGACACCATACGAAGTTTCAGATAAGGCGACTCCATCTCGTGTGATTTCTTTAACCTGATGTTGGAGAAGATAATAAAAGCCGCAGAACTGAACGGAATAGTCACTTTACAAGAGCGTACAATTGCTGGCGAATGCCAGCGACATCGATATTATCGGTAAAAAGAAGGGCTACGTCTGTTCTGCCTTCTCGGGATTGGATAGAGAAGCAAAGCGAATGGGTTTGGTGGTGAACGAGGACAAAACGAAATATCTCCTGTCATCACAAAAACAGTCAGAGCATACGCGTTTTAGCACACACGTCGCTGTTGACAGTTAATTGTTTGAAAAAGTGGACGACTTCGTTTATTTGGGAACCAGCATTAACACCAATAATAATAACAGCCTTAAAATCCAACGGAGAATCACGCTTGCCAACAAGTGCTACTTTGGACTGAGTAGGCAATTGAGAAGTAGAGTCCTCTCCCGTCGTACAAAAATCACACTCTATAAGTCACTCATCATGCCTGTGCTGGTGTATGGCCCAGAGGCATGGCCAATGAAAACATCTGATGAAGCCGATCTTGGAGTTTTCGAAAGAAAGATTCTGCGAAAGATTTACGGACCTTTACGAGTTGGCGATGGGGAAGACCGCAGATGATTTAGCGATGAGCTGTATAAGCTTTACAACGAATAGACGTAGTGCAGCGAATTAAAATTCCGCTGGCTTGGCCATGTCGTTCAAATGGACAGAAACGCTCCTGCTCTGAAAGTATTCATCGTGAGCCGCGATAACAGAGGAAGAGGAGGGCTTCCTCTGCGTTGGAAAGACCGGGTGGAGAAGGACTTGGCTTCACTTGGCCTTTCCAATTGGTGTCAGTTGGAACAGAAGAGAAATGACTATACTCGGCCAGAATCGCTTAGGCGGTTTCAGCGCCATTACAGAAGAAGAAGAAATAAGTAGATATGTGTACGAGTATATCGGCACCTTAACATAGAAACATTTTTGTTTCTTTATGGATTAATGAGAAAACTCCACAGAAAATCTCGAAAAAAACTCTATTTAAGTTAATATGCGCAATTTGGTTTTGTAATGTCTCTGTGACCAAACTGGCAAGCTTTGAAAAAGTAAAAATTTCTAATTTTAGCATATGTTGTAGTGGCGACAATGTTAACATACTTGTTTATAGGAATAATTTAGTACTTACTTGACTCCAATAATGATTTAGCGTCGGTTTTATTTGTCTCAACTTGGTCAATTTGTATCGAGATACCATAACTGGGATTCTTCTTGAGGTATGTTGTTACTACTGTGACAGCTTTTGCTGCTGGCTCGTTGTCAGCATCGTTTACAAAAACTAACAAAAAGAAAAGAAATTGATTAATATGATAATCCAAACAGCTGGTTGCTGTGATTTGCTTGTAAATACAATAATAATCTGAATTCTATAGGAGTTTTAAATAATTTTTAAATGTCTTTAAAGACCAGATAATAAATAGCTCTTGGTTTTGTTTTTGGAATTTAGTCAAAAGCATACATATATGAACACTATGAAAGGTTCAAGTTCCCCAATGTGTCTATATTTGATGTATGTAAAAAATTCAGGGAACTACCCAAAGGAGGAAATTTTTATTTCATAATATTTAACCATTTTCACAGCTTCTTGTCACTTTTTTAGCTTTATGCATGCATAAATATTTACGTATTTTAAGTAAAAAATACTCTTAAATATATTATTTTATACATATCAATATCGACTATGTTCATTAGATTAGATTTTAACAAATTTAATTGTATTTGTCGGCATTCTATTTCTTAGCTTAGATTTTAACAAATTCATGGCATTAAATACGCGTTCTACCTCCGCATTAAGCTTGATATACAGTTCAATGCGAGCGTGAGCGTGAACGTTCGCAAAGGCAAAGAATTCCATTTGTATTCTTATGGACGCTGACACACATCTGTCAAAACTTGCCGTTCACATGCGGATGCTTTGCGTACGCACACAGTTGAGTGTGCGCTCGAAAAAAGGCACATTATGCATTTTAAATTAGTTTTTATTCTATCATTCTGAAAGATATTTTAATTCTCTATCTTTTCATGTTTTAACTATAGCAAAAAGTTGAGTAATAACGAAGATATTGGTCAAAATAAAAAGCTCACGCTCACGCTCGTATTGAACTGTATATCAGGCTTTACTGAAACGCAATATTAAAAATTTCATTACAAAAGTACACAATAGTCAACAAATCAATTAGGAACTCTGCTGTGCCCATGTGTATGAAGTTAATTTTTGCCATTGTAATGGCTCTATTCTGTATCAGTGACCAATTCTTGCCAAAAATGATGCAATACACTAAGGGCCGTTTTCTCATCCAACCTTCAGTTTACCGGCCACTTTATCGTCTCGATATACGAGTTTTCGTTTTCTCATCAGCGCATTAATTTCTCGAATCGATAAACCAGAGAACGTTTATAACTGAGAAGGCGCATTTTCTGTGTGAACTAATTTCTGCCAGAAATTTTGGGGTGCAGTCGGCCAAATATACCACACGTCGACAAAGTGCACCGCTCGACCGACGGTGTCGGTAGAGAAGTGTCGGCTGCCACCATACCAAAAATTTTTCCGTGCCACCACACTTTGAGCAAATTTAACTACCATAGTTCAAAGCAAAATGAAAAAATAAGAACGAAAAAGGAAGGAGGAACAGAAATATAATAAGCACCAGGCAGAGGGGATGCTTGCGGAGGCAAGCGCGTGCTTGTGTCGGATCAAAACAAACTCTAAAATAAAAATGGAAGTCAGAACGAGAAGTGTAGAGTAAGAAACGTGAAACGGGGAAAGGAGCGGGCTTTTGTACATTTGCTTGCTTGCCGAAAATATGATATTTGCGTGAAATCGATTTGCTGATTGTTGCAAATTGATTTTTGCAAACATGTATGAATTTTTCTATTTCAGCTAAGTTGATAAGATTTTCTAAGGCATTTTTTCGACTTTTTTCCGCGATTGTCTAAAGTCATGTAAAATGGACCTTTTTATAAAAACTATTTTATTATAATTTATTTAAACATACATATGTATGTATGAATATATTTACATTTATTATTTATTAATTTCTTTTATAATTTTATTTGTTATTTTAATATAATTTAATATTAAGCCAAATTCAGTTGTTATTGTTAAATACATATACATATTAATATAATAAAGAAATGTTAATAAAATCGACTTCTTTTTAATTTTGGAAAAATTTTTGATATCTTTTGATAGGTATCTGATGGCATTTTTCTTTGTGGCATTTATCTTATGATGGCATTTATTTAAAAAAAAAAAAGACTTTTGGCAAAAAAAAAATTCGAAAGCATTAAAAAAATTATATATGTACATGCAACTGCATAAATGAATTAAAACTGAAAGTATTTACAAAGAAGTTTTTCGCAAATATATGTGGCTATGAAATATTTTTCCTTAACTAGAATTTCATAGAATCATATTATGCTGCCCGACCTCTTATGGGAATTTTTATGCATAAAAATCAATTTATAAAATAAACCCCAAAGGTCAACATAAAATTAAAAAAGGAATTTTTATTACATTAAAAAAATAAAAATAAAACAAGTAAGAAAGTCTAAGTTCGGGCGGAGCCGAACATTAAATACCCGGCGCAAGTATTAAATATATGTTTTCCACCTTTCCGAAAGCTACCGCTACATGATAAGCCGGGGTGTATACATTTTAAGTAA